CCCCCCCCAGTGTACTGTATTTGGAAAAAAAATCGGGTTTCCTATTTCGGTGTAACTAAACTTCAACCTGATCTATCTACTTCAACGCTGATAAAACTCTTTGTGCACACAGGCTAAAATCTTTATTTTAGTGAAATAAATAAAAGGGAAAAAAATGGTGAAGGAGCCAGCATTGCCTCCCCGCGAAAACGAGGCCGAAAACGCGGAACCAGGGCGGTTCCGCTCTGGAGGTTTCTACCACGATCCCACGGTCTCCTTCGGCAGCCCGGAGGCACCCCAAACAAGGTCATTACCCCACTCGCCGTGGGGGCAGCGAGAGCTGCCGGAGGAAAGACCCCAGAACCCCTGGAGACGGGGTCATGAAGAAGACCTTAACAAACAGAAAAATGGACACGATAAGAAGTTGGAGAAGGAAGAATGAGAGAAGGCAGAAGGCAGAAGGCATCATAGAGTATTGTTGTGTTATCAGAAGGTGTTTTGCTTTAATAAAAAAAAAAGAAATCTTTTTTTTTTGAATAAAGGTGTTTTAATAGGAAAAAATAATAATTTAAAGTATAAAGATTTTGTCTTGTGTGCACCTAGAGAGTTAAAGTGATCATGAGTATTGTTTCCACGATGGAGCAGGTGGAGCCTTGCCACGTCGCACTTTTGGCAGTTAGAGAACACGAAAACTAGCGCCTTGTGATAGAAGATAAATAAGTTTCAACTCGTTCAGAATATTGTGGTTACACCCGCTCCACACATGGAAATTGCTTATAGTAAAATAGTCTTTTGGGCCATGAAAATCGACCACCATTCGTCCTAAAATAAACCGTAGCTCAGCATGGTTCTCGCATATCTTTTTTTTCATCTCTTCCATAATTTGGAGAACGTCGCTGAGAGTAAGGTTTATTATTACGAGAAAATCAAAATCCTCTTTTCTCCAGCTGGCTCCGCTAACTAGATCAAAAGCGAAGCAGAAGGCAGATTCTCCTCATTCCACTCCTGAGCTCAAAAGAAGATCAGCAAAGTGGAAGTTCGAGTCACCATATTCTTCTCCGAGATCCGGCAGGAAATCCGCT